TTTTTTTGGGGGGGGGTTTTTGGGGGCAAAAACAACAAGGGGGGCCTCAAAATTTTCGTTTTCTCCTGAAAAGGCCCCTGAGGTTTTTTTTTTTTTCCCCCCCCCCCCCCCCTCTTGGGGGCGGGGGGTTTATTTATTTTTTTTTCACAAATTTTGGGGGGCCCCCGGGGGGTCGAAAAAGTCCCTCTCTTTAAGGGGAGGGGAAGGTTATCCCGTGGGCATTCGGTAGCCGCGCCCTTTAGAGAGGCGCACCCATGGTACCCTTTACATCTTCGCGGAAAAAGGAGCCAGTTTTTCGAGCATTTTTTTGAGCCCCAAGGAAAAAAAGAGGGACGTCCCTTTTTCCCATTGGGGCAGAAGACATTGTTTCCCCGCCATCCATAGGGCCATAGCTGGGGGGGGGGGAGGACATTGTTTCAGCAGGGGGCCCCTCGATCCTGGACCGTGTTTGTTTGACCCCCCCCCCCCCCCCCCAATGAGCAATGAACACACCAGCGAGGGAGGGCGAGACGATCGAGGGGTCCCGTACCATGCGGAATCGACCCTATCCCAGTGCTCAGTGCTACGTTCGTACTTTTAGCTTACTCGGAGAAAAGGGAGAGGGGGTTGTGTTCTCTAGGCCCCTAAGGGCCCTACGCGCGGCGTGAGCTCTCTCTCTCTCTCTCTCTCTCTCTCTCTCTCTCTCTCTCTCTCTCTCTCTCTCTCTCTCTCTCTCAGTGCTAGCTCTGAGGGAGGGTGTAGAGGATGTAGATAGAGAGAGTGTAGAGCGCTGTAGAGATGTAGAGATGTAGAGATGTAGAGCGCTCTGGAGCGCTGTAGAGCTGTAGAGCTCTACATCCGGCGCGTGACGATGTGAGTCCGATGTGGAGCGATGTAGAGGCGCGCTACAACGTGAAATCTCTACAACAAACTCTACATCATATGAGCGTCATCTTGTAGTGAACAGGCCGAGTTCGCGGTTTGAGCGCCCAGCGCAGACCGACCGACCGCAGGGGGGGTCCCCGGTCGGCGGCCGCGGAAGACCGCAAACCGGAGGGGGGGTCCGGTCGGTCGGAGCGCAGACCGAGGGGGGGGGTCGGTCGGGTTGGCTCGAGGGTCACACCGCACACGCTCGCCGCAGCTGTGAATAATTTCGCGTTCCTAGAGACACCAAGCGCCCTCTCCCCGTCTAATCACTCCTCGCCATCCGAGTTGCAGTATGCAGAGCTCGAGACGCTCAGGATTGGGTCGGAACACGAGCTCGTCCATGTCCACGCTCTGGTCGTCGTCCATGATTAGCTTCGCCGGCGACACACTGTACCCGTTGACGAGCCGCTTGAGCGCGGCCAGCATCGCCCGGTGACGGCGGCGGCGATGTGTCGATCAAGTCTGACCTTTGTTGAGAATTTCCCTGCGTTTGCGCCGGGCGCCTCCAACACTGGCCGCTGGATCTACGATTGGCCAGGGCGGCGCTCAATCTTCATGCATGGCGACGGACAGCACAACAACTTTTGCGCGTGCGCTGACAAGGCAACCACAGCCGCGTGCCACCTTCACTTCATGAGCGACGGCACGATGTGGGCTCGCTTCCCAGCCACCGGCCGCTGTTGCAAAGTGTGTGACGCAGGCGCCGGCTGCTCGACGATCCGCCCGGACTGGCTACTCGACGCGACCTACCTGGGCGACGAAGAACATGACGGGCGCATGTGCGAGACCTGGGCCAAGCCCGGTGCGGTCGCGCTGGATGTCTGGTCGCAGGGCAAAGATGACGGGCGAGCGTGCCAGTACAGAGAGCGTTTCAACTTCACGGGCAAGCCGATTTGGCACTACCTCAACTTCAGTTCCTGGGTGGCCGGCGCCATCGACGAGACGGCCTTTGCGCTGCCCTCTGCGTGCAAGGATGTGTGCCCAGCGCAGTACCCGGGCCACTGCGGCTGAACAATAGTCTTAGACTAAATAAATAAAAACGGACACCTCTACTGTGAGATGGGTAAAAAGGAACAGGTCCCCGCCCTTGCGATCTTTGTGCAGGGTTCTTGTGGGTGTGGTCGGCGACTAGCCGGGGTCGTCCTCGCCCGATGGGCCGACTGCAAGTTTTGTCTCGCGTTTTGGTTCTTCCCTTCCGTGATTCGTTCGACTCGTGAATTGCCTCCTCGGGCCCGAGGGCAGCCCCAACTGAAGTAGGGAAATTTGGATTTTGGTCCCACTAAAAAGCACTCTATCTGTGAGTCGTCTCGTGCACGGTGTACAGCAGGCGCCAGGGCCAGCGCCAACCATAGGAAATCTCCCCTGTCTTTTCGTGCTCGACACTTTCTCTATACCTGCCGGTGCCGTGTCGCCGCCGTGTGTGTTTTTCACGCTACTCTTGTGGAGCGAGTTTGTGGCCTCGTGGGTACCACGTCACCGTATAACGTGTATATCCGCTCCTGCGACCTGGTGCCATGTGCATGTGCATGTCAGACTGACACGGCCTCTCGCGTCGAGGCTCTCGCCTCGACGCGCTTTCGCACGCACAAAGCCAGAGGTAGTGACTAACAACAGACGCACGCTTCAGTCGATGGGAATGGCAGTCGGCGCGGACCCCGCCCCTCCTCCGGAGGCGCTGCGGTTGGCGGGTCCACACCGCTTCACGTGTCGCTCCCTTCTCAAGGGTCCGAGGCTAGACAGGTCCTGGCCGCAGTTGAGACACCGGCCGTCCGAGCCTGTGGAAGATGGTTCGGTGGCCGGCAATGCTGTGGGAAGCGCGGCCAGGGCTGGAGCTGCTGCCCGAGGAGGCGAGGCCGGCGGCTGCGGCTTTGACGGCGGCTGCGCCGGAGATGGCGCCGACGGCGCTGGCGTCGCTGGCGCAGGCGATGCCACGGGTACGTCGATGAGCGGCACCTTGCCAGCCAGGAGGTCTGCGAGCGACACTTTTGGCAGCTCCACCTCGCCTGAAAACTGGTGCGCATCGGCCGTCGATTCGTCATCCGTTCGCGGGCGCTTGCTGGAGCCGCTGGTGGTCTTGTGGGCACCCTTGGTATCTGACAGCATCGAGCACCTTTGGGTGTGCCGCGTGCCCACACTTGGCGGACGGAGGCTGCCCGCAACGCGGCTGGGCGGGGCAATCCCTCCCCTCTAGAAATACCTCGCTCGTGTACCGCGACCTCTATGAGAGATGCCCTCAAAGCCTTCTGGCGACTAGGAATAAAACAACATGTCGACGTCCTCAAAGCAAAGGAGCCCGACTCGCTCCGAGCACTTCCTCTATTCAGGAACTGGCTCTTTGAACTTGTCAAACCCAAGGCTAGACGCAAGGTCGAAGCTCGCTGGGCGACGCTCGGATTCACCGCTCTGGGCGACCTATTCAACCAAATCACAGGCGAGCCCCTCACCCGACTCGAGCTACAGAGCGAACTCCGCCTGAAAAACCCTACCATCGCCCCAAGGGCGCAAAGTCGGCTAGCCACAAAGCTTCACACCTACTCTGGTTCGATCCCAGCCGACATCAAAGACTTTCTCCGCCAGAGCCGCCCTCCCTTTCGGAAGGGCGACTAGACTCAGGGAAACTTGGAGCACTTGGAGTGCAGTTATCAGCCTCACATCCAGGGCCGGGGAGCTAAGAAGCGCACCCAGGAAACTCGCGAGTTTCCAGAATGGAGCACCAAACACCCTCTGTTTTCCCTGGAAATTTCCGGAAACGCAAAGTGCTGGGGCCCCTCTGTTTTCCTTTTTGTTTGCCGGAAAAGCTTGTGCAGGCCAAGGCCCCGCCCGCGAGGGCGGGGGCCGCGACACCAGAAGGGGATCGTACGAGACGTTTCAATAGAGACGTAGTCGCGGGCGGACGACAATCAGAGAGAGAACGGACACGACAAGGGTCAAGGCGAAGTGTGAAAGCACGATGCTCGCGGTGGCAACCAAAACACACTTACTTAAGGGTTCGGGAGAACGCTGGGTGGGGTAAGTGCGTGGCGACCAAACTGTACTCCTCTTCCCAACGCGCGCGCCATAATGCGAGCAAGCCGACGTTTCCGCCCGCACTAAGCGGGAAAATTCTCTTTGCTGGGACTTCTAAATTCTTTGCTTGGGTCACGACGACATATGGTCACGCCCAAGCCCAGCGCCACTCTCAGCAAGCCCAAGAAGGCTGCCAAATCGGTCAAGTCCAAGGCGCCAGCCGCCCCGGTGGCCAAGGAGGCCAAGCGCCAGCGGGCTGCCCCGCTGTCGGCAGACGCTCCCGTCAAGAAGAAGAAAAAGGGCGTGAGCAAGAAGGGCGAGGTCGCCGTCGCCGACGCGGCGGCTGCGCCCAGAAAGCGCAAGGCCACCGCCTCTGCAGCCGCCGCTCCTGCCGCCATCCCCGCCGCCAAGCGGGTCAAGAAGGCCAAGGGAGCGGCGGCGGCGGCGGCGACGGCGGCAGCGCCGGCTGCAGCGGCTGCGTCTGCGGGCGCGAGCTCGAGCGGCGGCGGCGGGAGGCCAAAGCTGGAGCAGCAGCAGGTGATCCGTGCGATCGAGGCGCTCTGCACCCACGTCGCGCGGGTCGGCGCCGCCGGCGACGACGGCGAGGGCGGCGGCTCTCTGTTGAGTGGCGACACGCCAATCAACCTGGTGAGGAAGGGACACTTCCGAGAGCCTTCCCTGCTCCCCCCTCGGCCGCCGTCCCACCTCGCGCACACTCGCGCATGCCTCATCTACGCACGGGCGCAGCCCCTCGCACGTGGCGTTAAACCGCATGCCACAGCAGCCGCCGCTCTTCAGCAGACCGCGCCGCGGCTCCGCCCTCCCCGCGGCGCGGTTTGAGAAGGCCGCTCACCAGCACCGCTCACCAGCACCGCTCACCAACACCGCTCACCGGCACCGCTCACCGGCACCGCTCACCGGCACCGCTCCCACCTTGAGCCGCGCTCCGCCCCGCCCTCTCCCCAGGTGGTTGCGACCAAGCGGATGCCCAAGGCGTGCCGTGGCGCCAAGGGCGTGAAGCCCAAGCTGCTGCCTCTGCCGCATGCGTGGCGCGCTCGCCCTCCTCACCTTTGCCCTCTGCCCCCCCC